GTAACAACAAGAAATAGAAACTAAATTAGTTCTATGCTATCCTTCCTGCTGTACCGTACATCCGTCCTTCGGTCCGTACTAGCAGAGTATATATATATATATATATATATATATATATGTATAGTAATGTAAATATATGGGTGTGTTGAGCTAAGGATTCTTTAACAATGGGTGTCTGTGACTTATTTATGGTATATTCGACAATAAACAAACAGCACACATTCCACTTGTTTCTAAAAAGCACACACACACACATATATATATATATATATTCAAAACAAGTTAACTGTATGTAAAAAAAAATTATTTACACTATGGACATCATAGTTGTATCTTAAACCCTAAACAGTTTTCTTCTTGTCAAAGGTCCACTTGGGGCAATTCAATTGTTTTAGAATTCAGTTGACAAGACAAACTATTTTTCTCTCAATAGTATCCATGTATAGTTACTGCAGTTGTATCTTGAACTTCCAATAATCATCTGCTTTTTTTCAAAGTCCACACAGTCAATTAGTTTAGAACACTTATTGACAAGACAAACAATTCTCCTTATCTCTTTCAAAGTGTTAATCTCACTCTAACATATAAACCATTAGGCTATTCACTCACACGATGGTTAACTTTACATTTTCAAACTTCTCTTTCATGTGACTTTACTTTCACTCTCTTTCCACTTATCTGGTCACAGCTATTTATAAGTCTATCACTAAGGCCTTCTAGAAATCTCCATAGCCTTGACATGAATGGATTGCAAACACAATGTTCAATAGCCTCGACATCAATGAATTACAAACACAAAATTAATTAATTAATAATACTACCAACACTAAACAGTCTTTTATATTTGACCGACACCTATCATTTCAACAACAGCATTAAACTTTAGTGCTCTAAATATCAAAAGAAAAATTTCAATTTTAAAATATTATCTACTGATTCTCAACACTTAGCATACAGTGTGAAACACTCTCAGCTTTAACTTCTGCTCTTCAACACTTAGCATATAGTATAAAATATGCTTCAGTTTAGCTTCTGATTCTCAACACTTAGCATACAGTATGAAACACTTGATTTTAACTTCTGATCCCCATCACTTAGCATACAGTATGAAACCATCTTAAACTGGGCTCCTTGTGTTATTGTGTCCATTATTTTCAAGCCCACAATACAACATCACAGTTGTTTTAAAATGCAGTTGGAAATTTTATGCAGATTTTTCTTTCTACTGCTAGAAACTATGGTAATAAAGCATAAAACAAATGAAGCAGAATACAAAGAACTCATACATTGGCTAATAACATTAAAATAATTTTTCATAGTACCCATAGAATGTAAAGTTTCACTACTTTGCAAGAAAGAAAAAATTTTCTTACAGCTTTTGCTGAAGGAACAGACTTGGATAAAGCATCGATGAGTAATTCTTGAAGATCATGCAGATTTTGCTGGACAAATGAACAACAGCCTTCACTTTGACCCTGACACAACTCTTCTAGCACACGGTATGCTTTCTTTTGTATGGTGTGGTCTTCATGCTAGAGAAAAAACAAATGAAAAATATCTTATGAAACATAATCTAGGTTCCTTCCTGTCAAACTGCTTTTTTAATTATGAGATTTGTTTTGAAACCATAAAACAAATTATAGCGGGGAATACTAACACATTTAATATACTCTAGAGATTAAATCTCAAATAAAAATGTACTCTATAAAGTTGCACAAAGTAGAATTTTTGCATGTTAAGTAATTTAGACAAACTAAACATATTTTAAGCCTGTACTTAATTATATTTAGAATTCATAGAAGTACCAACAGAAATTAAAACCAAAATATAAACAATTTTTAAACTTAGTTTGGTTTTATCAAAAAAAACTATAAATGTTAAAGTTGTTGATTAATAACTTTTGAAACTAAGGAATATAATTATTAGTTCATATACACAGGATGACAGAAGGTTAACTGCAATTCTTAAAATTTATTTGCACATGCTAATGCAGTAGCATGTTGTTGCAACTGAATGCATGATACTATGTTTAGTCTCTATATATTTGGTTAATGGTGAATTCATGAGCATTTGAAAATGCTTATACACAAATCATAAAATTAAACATCTAAGTTCATCACAGTGATTCTTTGAACAACAGAAAATGAAACTAATGTTCATGCTATCCTCTTCTCCAACAAACCTATGAACCAATAGACTTTTCACTTGGATTGCTCAAACATATTTTGGAAGACAATGTTCCATGTACAGTGGACAGTCTGTCAAAATGTGTTGTCTTGCTTTCTTTTGAAAAGCTTCTTACAGTGGAAATTAAGGTGTTAGTGTATTCGTAGCTATCAGATAGAGCAGGACTGACAATAGCAGGGAGACTACTTAGTTTTCAAATTCCATGTTTTACCAGCATCTTTTTTCTTGACCATATTATCCAATAATGTCAATATATATTATTTAATTGAGCCTCCAACCTCCCCTCACAGCTGCACCTTTTCCACCATGACACAATAACAGGACTTATAATAATGTTTTAAAATGTTTTTTTTTTATTATTTCTTTTGGTAAAAGGCTAAAAAAGTGCACAAAAATTAAATGCATTACAGCAACTATGCATCTAATATTAATATCAATAAATTACATGTTGAATCTTTACTATAAAATTCACAAAGCCCATGCATTAAACATTACACTTAACATGCCTTAAAGTTAATAAAACAATCAACCAGTTTGATTGTATAACAACATTTTATGTTAATGATGGACTATTCCAGCCTCTCACAATAAAATACAAACTTGTTACCAAAAACCTTATTCACCTAAGAAATGTGTTCATAAACAAGCTCTAAAACATATTTAGAACATTCAAAATAGAGTGTAAAACATTGAACTAATTATTAATATGCTTTTTGCATACAAGTTCCTCATAGCCAACATAAAAAACGTTAGTCGAGTAATCAGTGATCACGCATTTACAAAACAACGGACAGAGTATTAGCTCATAATACAAAATAAAAAGCAAGATACATACTAAATAACATCAACACAATCAAACAAGAGTTAAGGCAGTTTTGCTAGCAGAAATTCAAAGACTGACATGAAAACTCTGAGTTCATTTTTGAACGAGTTTTGCTGATAATGCCAAAAGCTTTTCTTTTTGCTTTGCAATCTCAACTTTAACCATATCATCAACCTTGTTCTTCATGGCTATTGGCTTTACATTTTTCTACTTTCCTTGCTGTTGTCAATTTTTAGGGCCTGTCACCAATTTTATCTGAATCATTGAAACATGATTGTGCTTCATCTTCTAGCATTTTAAGCCTTTTCTTTTCAAGAAGGAACTCTTGCTCAGTTTCTTCTGCCTCTCGTTTAGATTTTTCCTTCTTGGCTGCTGTCTTTTGATCCATAAGCATGTTCTGATAACTGGCATGTGCATGACTGCATGACTTTGGTAATTTTTCAACAACACATAATTTCAATTTCAACCCCTAAATTATCTTTACTCATGCAATTTTAAAGCCAGTTATCATGGCATCCAAAGGTAGAGGCAAAATATTGTTTTACAGTTCTGTAAAATAACTGTACAAGTACCATTCTCTATTAGATGAGCAAAGCATGCTGATGTTTTAGAATTAACACAAATGTACTATTTATGAAAAACAAAAACACAAAATCATACAATCAGAATATTGAAACCTTGATCTTCCACCAAAATTACTCAATAAAAAAAAAAGATCAATTAGTGCATTAATATATTTTTGAAGTCAGCAAAAACAAAACCTGCCATGTTTTTCAAGATTACCACAAGCCAAAAGCAACCCAAATCACATTGCTCCATCCATAACCTGTTGAATATTTCACATCCATTTTTATCTTTCAGACGTAAAAGGGTGTGTCCAAAATTCTGAAACTTAGAAGTATGTCACCAGATGGGTGGGAATAATGGAAACTTACTCTAGACTAGGTTAAAATATCGTTGATGCCTCTAAATCATGTCTGTGTTTATCTTATAAAATCTTCCTATTTTTTTTTTGTTTCTTTGTTGTTGTTTTTTAAAGTTTCCACATCTTATTGGGTTTGATTTTGTTGTTAATACTGAATGGACACACCTTTAATATTGAGCTCTGGGTCAACAGTTGCTCATTTCCATTTTGACTTTAAATGTATGCTTACTCAGAACATTAATGTAAGACATGTAAAATTACCAGTAGCCATTTTATGTTTTAAAAATTATAGATAACCAATAAATACCACACCCACTCTCCAGTCCCATAAATTGGACATACATCAAATTTGATGATGTAACAAATTTACAAAAATGTAATTTGGCCAGTGAAATTCCCTGTTTTTCAGGAAATTTTCAAATTCTCTGTATTTTCCCTACAGGGAAAGTGTTTTGATAATCTTCCCTGTGGCTGGACACCCTGCAATAGGAGTTCCAAGTACATCTAAAAAATAATTTTTACATTGTGCAAGTAATTCTTTATACAAATCTTAGGATTCAAAGATGTGCAGCTACCATTACCACAAAATGGCTAAAAATTTTAGTTATATTGGAAAATATGGAGTTAAACTCAAAATGTACAGAATCAGAAGTAATGTTTGGCATTTGTAATTTTGTTGATTTCAATGAAATATGTCATTTAGAAATAAGTCTAAATCATTACTTAATTTTAGCCAATTACCCAGTTTCCAGTCTACTACTCACTTTATATACTTCAAAATCTGTTTCAAAAATAAAAAATGATTAGTGTTGCATTTGGCTAAGTGAACCTAGCCAGTTCAATACATTTTAGAAAAAACATCTGTTTACATAACTCTGAATATATCTTTTGAAATTGGAGATAATAAAAATATTATTCAAGGCCTTTGCTGCAATCATTCCTAGGTGTGACTGAAGATAATCCTTCCATTCTTAAGCTTATAAATAATGGAATGGCTAATAATTTACAACCATCTGATTTGTTGGACAAAAACAAAACTCTTCTCCTGAAATAAGCATGTTTTTATTTCTTCATAGTTTGGGATTCACATTTTCTAGGCCAAAACCCTCTTTCAACATTGAGGTATGAATGATTTGTTTGCATAAAAAAAACACAATGGGCTATCTGTGCTCTGTCCACAATGGGAAATAAAATCCCAGATTTTAACACTAAGTTTGTGAACTTAATGTTGGGCCATTGGAGGAGGTATATGAATGCAACTATTACTTTTTAATATATGATAAAACTACAAAGTTTTACCCAACACATTTGTAATTACTCAATACTAACTATTCTGTAGTAAAACATTTAAAAACAAGTTTTATACCATTATCAGACTCATATTTAAATAATTTCAGATAGTATATACATTTGAAAATAAAGATTAAGTAGATGTTATTTTTTTCTTAATGTCCCTATGAAACATTAATGTTTTGAAATTATTTGGAATTTCTATAGCAGCAGTTTTTATCAACTATTTTTATAGCAAGTTAATTTTTCTGCTTTAACACATACTTGAAGTAAAGGTTTGCAGTAGAAATATAATTCTTTCACTTGGTCTTCACTGACATAAAGCAGGAGAGCTCTAGTCAAATCTAAAACTGCATGTCTGATAAATAAAAATGCAAAATAATGTTGTTAATATAAATTATCATTTTTTTTCATTAATTATGATTAACTGTTTTTACATATTTAAGAACAAAATATCATTAATTTTCTACTGAACAAACTAGATCTTAAACAAAAAAAGATGAAATTAGCAAACAGAAAATGTAGAATATATCATAAGAAAATGAATAAAACTGGAATATTTATAAAACAACACTTTTCAAAAATTGGTTTACAGATTTTAATTAAAGATACTCAATTAAAAGTATTATTATATTCATTTTTCTAAGAAGTAGAACAGAAATATGATGTGTTTAGGTCATACTCTTCCAAAAAATAGTTGTACAAATTATGACAGAAATCAAACTAAGAAAGGCATCTTGTGATAATAAAAAGTGAAAAAAGTTTATATTCAATGTCATATGCTAGAAAAATAGCTTATCATAGTTGAATTGTACTACAAAAACTATCCTACAATTCCATGGACTTACCTATACTTATAAACTCATCAATTAGTTCAATAGCTCTGTTTTATCATATTTAATTCAAAATGAATCACTTTGCTAGTACCAACTTCAAGTTTATGCAAAAAGATTGGTGATATAAATTGAGAATATTTTTGTTTTAATATAACATTTTTATGTTCTTATAATGTTTCTACAACATAACTTCCAATTTTATCTCATAGACAAGTACTAAGTGTAAAAGGTTAAAACTTAAGTAAATCAAGTTATTAAGCTCATAAACTGGTACATTTGATTATAAGAGTTGTACATGACCAAAACAGTAGTAGTCATGGTAAACAAAATGCAATTACAAAATAACAGAAGCTTATCACTTTTTGACTTGATTTGAAAATCACTTACTAATTCAATATCTACAATATTCAAAGCAGTATAATGTCAATATCAATATGATTACAAAGTTTGAAAACTTTCATTTTTTTAGATACATAGAAGCCCTCCACCAAAGGGTACAAAGTCATTAGAGAAACCTGAAGATATTTCAAGTCAACCCATTACATCTGTCAAAAATAACTTAATTTTATAGCTATTTTTTATTTATTGAAACATTTTTCATAATTATTTACTTTTTGAACTATTTCAAATTATCTGATATTGTTTGAAAGGTCTCCAAGCACTTTTAAGTTAACCATAAAATTGACATAAGATGGTACTAACCTGCTAAAGGAAGTAATGTCTGATTCTTTTAACTTCAGTAAAGATTTGTCAAACAAGCTACTGCATAACTGAGAAAGAATGGAATATTAATAGCTTTAAACTTCTATGTTTTTTGATATATTTTACATTTTCTTGTCTAAGAATTTTACATAAAGTTGTCAAACCTATCACTCAACTGGATATTAGATGTCTTTAGATGAAACATCTATTACAAAATTCCTTAATTTAGTAAAATGTATCAACAAAAATATAAAATTAATTTCTGTTTTCTGCTTTAAAAACAGGTATGATAAAATTTCCAAATGCAAATTTTACAATTTTTTAAAGAACAACAGGTTAAAGATGAATAGTGTATCAAAAATTGTTACAAATGTAAAAAGTATCAAAAATAATCTAGTGTCACTAATTCATGACAGATAGTTAGAACCAGAGTAAAAATTATAATGTAAGAAAAGTAAATAATATTTTAGGAGAAAGGGTTTCAGAATTATCCTATACTTTCAAACTTCATGTATTGAATTAAATATCCTGAAAAACAGTTCAACTATTACCTCTCTGTCAGTAATCTGCAAGTAGACCTTAATTGTTTCATAAACAGCAAGCCTAATGCCTTCCTCATTATCTTCTGGCTCAGATGTGTACAGATTTAACATAATTGGCAGGTAGTTCTTTGCATATCGTGCCAATTCATTCCTATTTACTTCTAAGATAAATTACAAAGTACAAGGTCAAACTTTGTGAGAAATAAGTAAGTAATTAAAGCTCATTTTGAAAACAAAGTGTTTATACACATGGTTTCATTAGTTTGAGAATTTAAAATAAATTCAAGTTTTATCATTACATATTTAGAAAACATATTACATACAAAAGTGCATTAAATGTTATGCTCAAATTATGCTTCTTAATAAACATTATACAACACATACTAGATCAATGGCTACACTAAAGTTATGCTGTACTTGTATATAAAATATTCAGTAACTAACTCAAGATTTGATTTTCTGTTGGTTTAAGAATGTCTCAAACTGTAAATTGATTCAGGTAATTAAACTGAGAAGAATATTCACTACTGTAATTTCAGATTTTAAAAAATCAGACGTTTTGCTTCATGGATATAACAGCAATTAGCAATATATAATATAAAAACAAATCATTTGAAATATATTAATTTATCCAACTAACCCAAAATTGTTCTACTATTTTTACATAAAAATTATGAAGTTTTTATTTTTTTATAAATTATATCAATTAGGTCAGGTGCTATTCTACAATCTAGAGTAAATACACAGATTTTATGAGACACTTTACTTGACACAGTAGCAAAGTTTAATTGATTATTATGAACACATACTATATAATTATTATTGCTAATTTAATTTCCATATCAACTAGTAAGCTTAATTTTTAATTCTTAAAAAAAAAATACTATGAAAGGTTAAACTCACCAATTTCTAAATTTTTAAGTACCAATAATCTAAGTGATGCCAGAATATCAAGCCTAAGATCAGGATGTTCACTTAGAGCCAGTCCCAAAATCTTGGCAATTCCTTTGAAGGACTAAAAAAAGTATATACAATAAATATTCTTTATACTTTCATATCCTCAAAAGAACATGAACTATCTTTCAAAATATGATAAGTTTCTGAACTTAATTATATATCTTTGGTTGATTAGAGTTTTAAAGTACCAAAATATTTACCTACATAGTGACTTTATTCCACATAAAATCATTCTACTTGGAACTAATTGTACATGTGGCTAAGTACTAAAACTGATTATATTAAAGTGAAAATGGCAAAAATTATCTTCACTTGACTCTCAACATTAGAACCTTTATGGAAATACATTATCAGAATTTAAAATAAAATATACATAATATACATAACTTTTCTTTTGCCAATTTTTCTTCTCTTTTCTACTGTTAGTTTCACTCGCATACTAAACATTAGGCCTATCACTTCTACTGTAGTTAACTTCACACCAACTATTCTCTTTTGTTATTATCTGTCTGCTGTTCCCGCTCATATCATGCTGTTTTTATCTTTATCACTTAATGGTCTATCTGCCTTCTATATTCTTGACATCAGTGAATTATTACAAAAACTTCCTACAATCATCTGCTTTTAACTCTTACTTTAACAAACACTAAACAATAATAAAATATTCACTCACAAAAATAAAATTATCCCTGATATCTAAACCAAACAATTTGTAATATATTGGTTTATATATATATATATATATATATATAGTATATTGTATTTTATTGATTTTCTCTGTCATACTTTCAGTGATGTGTGTGTTAGCATCGATCACTCAGAGTCAACTAGCTTGATTACCATAATTTTTGGTATGGTAACTAGAAAGTGTCCAATGGTGTACATGGGCTGTCTAGTTTTGGTATTTGTTACCAAGTGTGATAAAAAAAGATGCAGAAATAGGACACATTTCCAACTTATTATAGATTTTAGGTTTTGAATTTAAAGACACAAGAACTTAATCAGTTAAACGAGTCAATATTTATCTCTTACAAAGCAAGCTATGTAATTATCATCTAATGAGGTCATTGAGGATTTAATAATAAAAGAAAGAATGAAGATGAACATTACCTAACATCGTGCTTTATACAATTTTTGCTTCCTTAAAGTAGTTAGTGATAAAAGTAATAGAAATAAGATTTCAATCGTCTGTGTCAGCTAATGGTAATAAAGCACTGCTTATGATCAAAATAATAATTTTTTCATGTTTTGAAGTTTTTCTCTCATTAAAATATTTAGAAAAAGAAATGTTGGTGAAAACTCTATGGGTAGTTTAAAGGTATTTTGTCTCTAAGTATCCACATACACAATGCAGTTTAGGGACAAATCCCAGACAGAAATATTAAAATTCATGATTTCCCCTATAACTATTAAATAATCACCTAAAGCCAAAGAAAAGAGAGTTTGGCTCACTATAGTTAAGGAAATATTCAAATTTTAAAAGGTTTGAAAAACAGGTTGCACAACAATGTGAAACTATTGTAAATTAAAATAAAGGTGAAAAATCTAAGCTCAAGTATAAAAACTGATTATTGTAAAATCAAAAAGTCTTAAAATGAATAAATCAACCTAAAAGTATATAATACAGAGATGAGGAAAATTTCCTCCAAAATATGAATATAGAACATTAAACAAGTAGAAACTGTAAGAAATTCTGATAAATATTTCCAGCATCTACCACAAACAAAAATATATATTATAAAAAAGAAAGGCCTAACTGACCAGCAGAACAAAGAGAAAATGAAAAACTTTATGCCCAATGTTATATATTTTTCCTAGTCCAAAACAAATTTTGAAAAAATTGAAATATTTATTTGAAATTTTCAAAAATCATAAATTATAAGTTATTAATCATTTCTATGTGAATTATAAAGTCACCATAACAATGCATAGTATGTAGCAAGAACAAAAATTTAGCAACACCCAGTGTATAGTACTCAAAGTCTTACAACTGGAATACAGTTAATAAAGTTTTCTTACCTAGCTTATTAACCACTTCACTGCAGCTGGAACATATATTTCCCAGTGCTCCCACCCCCTCACACTGTGACTGGGACAAATGTTTTCCATTGTCATTCAAAATTGCCACGCATGACATATGGGAGTAAAATGGAAAGTATTCACAGGCATCCCACCTAATATTGCTATATGGTTTCCCTCAATGTTTTCCACTCAGCCCTTCAGTAACCAACAAAATGCATAAGTGGAATGTATGACAACTGTGTGCCAACTGTGCCTGCTTTGGCAGAGTGGCAAGCAATAACCCTAATTACTATGTAAATATGCTTGATGCACTTAACTCAGAGAGCTTAGAAGATAGTGAAAGTGAGTCAAATGTTGTTCAAATGCATGATGATGAAGAGGCAATGAGACAAGAGGATGCTAGCTCTCCATTTCTGGACCCAGCAGAGAAAGATGTAAACAGCGTCAACAATGGAAAACATTTGTCCCAATTACAGTGTGAGAGAATAGCCACGGAGAATAGGTTAAGCAGAAACTACTAGTCAAGTGCTAATTTTGGTTTAAATTCTCAATGGGAAACATTTGTCCCAGTTGCAGTGTGAAATGGGAGCATTGGGAAATATACATCCCAGCCACAGAGAATGGGTCAACCAGAGACTACTAGTCAAGTGTCAATTTTGGCTTAAAATCTCAATTCTATAAACATAAGCAGAGCTAGCCATTTTATATAAACCTTAGCTGTAAAGCAAATAAAGTACTTGTTACATATATTTTTAAACAACTCATCTAAATAACTAATAAATCCTTGTCACTAAGCTAATTTGGAATCTATTTTTGTAACAACTATATTAACTTCTGAGCAGAACAAACTATGTACTAAGTATTTAAAGCATAAGTTTAATTCAAATCAACAAACTTCATATATTGTATTCTTAGAGTTACATAAATATTTTTGTTATTTTTTTGTAATTAAGCACAAAGTTACAATACAGGTATCAAAATCTGGTTTCTAGTGTTAAGTCCATAGACTAACCTATATAATAATAACAAATGGAACCACAGTTATGGATCCATCCATTTTTATTGACCAGTCTTTAATTACTCATGTTATCCTAGAAACAGACACCTAAGAATTTGTAATACAAATTAGCTGTTAAAACTCAGCAAAGTGTCATAACTTTATAATAGCCTAGTACTTAAGAAAAAAAAAGTTAGAAAATATTGGAAGAGGGCTGCATTACAAAAAGTTACCTCTGTCAGGTCAGTAGGCTGTGTGCAGAAACCAGGGAGGAGAGACCAAATCTGAAAGAAAATGTTTACTTCACTTAACATTTTAATGCTACTACAAAATTAAACAATTTAAAGATTTTCCTAAAGATTTTTATGTTATCATAATTTTGTTATTTCAAATTGCACTTTTCAGAACAACCACAATACTAAACTTTGTTAGACTAACTTTGTCTTATAAGTTTATAAGTTCAAATATCATATGTAAAAAAAGTCATCATAAATAGAAATATTTGAATTTTTATTACAAATGAAACTATTTATTGAAAAAGATCAACCATATCCTCAATTTTTTCTTTTAAATTCAAACATCTTCAAGGCCTTCCATAACACTTTTAAAGCTATAATGTGTAGGTTATAGACCAAAATTTTAAAACTTTTTGGAGTTAAAACTTACTACAACTAGATCACTATTCCCAAGCAATATTAAATATTAAGATACCTAGTAAGTTTTCAAAACAGCATACACAGAATTAAATGGAAGGTAGTTAAAATTTAGTGAAGGTATGTTTGAAAGCAGAAAAAGATAAGTTGAGCTGTACATACTCTAATTACAATGAAACAGCATATAAAAAGAAAGTAAATGAAAAATAATTTATTCTTAGTAATACAATACCACAGATTACTGAAAAGTTTGCAAGGCTACTAGAGAAACCCTGAACAATGAAACAGTACACAAAGAGAAATAAGTGGAACTTTGTACTGAAAAATACAGCTAAGTGAAGGATGCAAAAGTTTTTCCTTTGCTAAAATATTTATAAATCCTGTTTTGCTACGCATTTTTTTTAAAACCTTGTTTTTGCTTTGCTGTCTCTTTTTCTTTTACTGGAATAACACTTTAGGATGCCATTAAACAAATAACATCAATACCTGTGTCTGTAGAACACTGTATGTCTTAGATTCCACAATTCTTCCACTCTTCTCAAGCTCCAAAGCTATTTTTAAAATATTGTATTTATAAATCATAAGAAATTAATATGGGTAGAGATCATATTTTCCCTAAAAATTTCATATATAGCCACATATACACCTGGAAAAAAGTTAAGCACCCCCAAATATTTTTCAGGATTGCTTATTGAAAATAAGGTTTAATTTTCATGATGTTGAGCAATGTTCATAATTTCAAACATAATTAAAAGGATGTGAGTGTTCAGATGTGACATTTAAATCAGGCGCGTTTTTTTCCCCACGTGCAACTTGCTCCCTTCTTCACGTCCAATATGCACTATTTTCTCGTCCATCAAATCCGTATTTAAGTCCCGAATTTCTGAATGCAAAATCATTTT